TAGGATAGAGCCTTGGGGGCCACACGCTTTTTTATGAAAGTATCTGGAAGCGAGCCTGTTCAGAACGACCTTCATTGCACGATTTGATAGGAATGATCGTCCTGTGATAACGTAGCCCTGAAGCTTACGTAGAAAACCAGCATGCCAATCCTATTACTCCAAATTTTCACGCAATGTTTTAACTATGAACCCCAGTGGAACAATAAACCTTCTTATACGTCTTCAGTATTAATTATTAATTTTGTATTCAAAGTACATTTTATGAAAGAAATTTCTCTTTACATGTTAAATAAAACATATACCTAGTGATATCGTAAAATAATTTATTTTCATACTTTAAGTCAGGATATATTTGCATTACGGCGTTTTTGGTGTTTTTCTTTCGATTTCGAAACGGAAAAATACTTATTATTAACTAATAATTAACAAAAACTTTATTTTCCCGTCTTTAAATACAAATTAAAATGTGTAATTATTAATAAAATTGATAACATTATTACCACATTGTTTTGTATCATGAACGTAGAAATAATTATTGTTCAAATAGACCAGCCATAAAGTTCGTAATACAAAATGATAAGGTAATAATATGTTATCTAGAAAGGTCATTAATATCCCGAAAAATGTGGTAATGTAATATTCACTGGAAAAAAAAAAAAAAAAAGAAAAAGAAAATGATTATTCTTACAATAAATAAAAATTGCTTCGGTTTTAAATAACTTAGCAACGACGAAGTTTTAGAGAGAAAAAAAGGAAACTTATACTTAACATAACGAAGAGACAGTTGAAGTTTCTAGGGCACATAATGAGGAAGGAAGGCTTGGAAAATTTGATACTCACAGGAATGCATAGCATACTTAATGAGCTTGAGTAAATGAATGGCGGGAAAGGGTTTGGGAGAGGTAACAAAAAGACTTAAAATTTATTAAGAGCTACAAAGGATAGGAAATTGTGGAGAGCCATGATCGCCAATGTCCTGAAGAGACACGGCACATAGAAGACGAAGAATGAGCTTGAGTAAATGGATAGCAGAACAGGGTTTAGGAGAAATAACAAAAAGACTTAAAATTTATTAAGAGCTACAAAGGAGAGGAAATTGTGGAGAGCCATGATCGCCAATGTCCTGAAGAGACACGGCACATAGAAGACGAAGAATGAGCTTGAGTAAATGGATAGCAGAACAGGGTTTAGGAGAAATAACAAAAAGACAAAATTTATTAAGAGCTACAAAGGAGAGGAAATTGTGGAGAGCCATGATCGCCAATGTCCTGTAGAGACATGGCACATAGAAGACGAAGAATGAGCTTGAGTAAATGGATAGCAGAACAGGGTTTAGGAGAAATAAGAAAAAAGACAAAATTTATTAAGAGCTACAAAGGAGAGGAAATTGTGGAGAGCCATGATCGCCAATGTCCTGAAGAGACACGGCATAGAAGACGAAGAATGAGCTTGAGTAAATGGATAGCAGAACAGGGTTTAGGAGAAATAAGAAAAAGACAAAATTTATTAAGAGCTACAAAGGAGAGGAAATTGTGGAGAGCCATGATCGCCAATGTCCTGTAGAGACACGGCACATAGAAGACGAAGAATGAGCTTGAGTAAATGGATAGCAGAACAGGGTTTAGGAGAAATAAGAAAAAGACAAAATTTATTAAGAGCTACAAAGGACAGGAAATTGTGGAGAGCCATGATCGCCAATGTCCTGAAGTGACACGGCACATAGAAGACGAAGAATGAGCTTGAGTAAATGGATAGCAGAACAGGGTTTAGGAGAAATAAGAAAAAGACAAAATTTATTAAGAGCTACAAAGGACAGGAAATTGTGGAGAGCCATGATCGCCAATGTCCTGAAGTGACACGGCACATAGAAGACGAAGAATGAGCTTGAGTAAATGGATAGCAGAACAGGGTTTAGGAGAAATAAGAAAAAGACAAAATTTATTAAGAGCTACAAAGGACAGGAAATTGTGGAGAGCCATGATCGCCAATGTCCTGAAGTGACACGGCACATAGAAGACGAAGAATGAGCTTGAGTAAATGGATAGCAGAACAGGGTTTAGGAGAAATAAGAAAAAGACAAAATTTATTAAGAGCTACAAGGGATAGGAAATTGTGGAGAGCCATGATCACCAACGTCCTGAAGAGACACGGCACATAGAAGACGAAGAATGAGCTTGAGTAAATGGATAGCAGAACAGGGTTTAGGAGAAATAAGAAAAAGACAAAATTTATTAAGAGCTACAAGGGATAGGAAATTGTGGAGAGCCATGATCACCAACGTCCTGAAGAGACACGGCACATAGAAGACGAAGAATGAGCTTGAGTAAATGGATAGCAGAACAGGGTTTAGGAGAAATAAGAAAAAAGACAAAATTTATTAAGAGCTACAAAGGATAGGAAATTGTGGAGAGCCATGATCACCAACGTCCTGAAGAGACACGGCACATAGAAGACGAAGAATGAGCTTGAGTAAATGGATAGCAGAACAGGGTTTAGGAGAAATAAGAAAAAAGACAAAATTTATTAAGAGCTACAAAGGATAGGAAATTGTGGGAGCCATGATCACCAACGTCCTGAAAGAGACACGGCACATAGAAGACGAAGAATGAGCTTGAGTAAATGGATAGCAGAACAGGGTTTAGGAGAAATAAGAAAAGACAAAATTTATTAAGAGCTACAAGGGATAGGAAATTGTGGAGAGCCATGATCACCAACGTCCTGAAGAGACACGGCACATAGAAGACGAAGAATGAGCTTGAGTAAATGGATAGCAGAACAGGGTTTAGGAGAAATAAAAAAGACAAAATTTATTAAGAGCTACAAAGGAGAGGAAATTGTGGAGAGCCATGATCGCCAATGTCCTGAAGAGACACGGCACATAGAAGACGAAGAATGAGCTTGAGTAAATGGATAGCAGAACAGGGTTTAGGAGAAATAAGAAAAGACAAAATTTATTAAGAGCTACAAAGGATAGGAAATTGTGGAGAGCCATGATCGCCAATGTCCTGAAGAGACACGGCACATAGAAGACGAAGAATGATTTTGAGTAAATGGATAGCGGAACAGGGTTTAGGAGAAATAAGAAAAAGACAAAATTTATTAAGAGCTACAAGGGATAGGAAATTGTGGAGAGCCATGATCACCAACGTCCTGAAGAGACACGGCACATAGAAGACGAAGAATGAGCTTGAGTAAATGGATAGCAGAACAGGGTTTAGGAGAAATAAGAAAAAAGACAAAATTTATTAAGAGCTACAAAGGATAGGGAAATTGTGGAGAGCCATGATCACCAACGTCCTGAAGAGACACGGCACATAGAAGACGAAGAATGAGCTTGAGTAAATGGATAGCAGAACAGGGTTTAGGGAGAAATAAAAAAGACAAAATTTATTAAGAGCTACAAAGGATAGGAAATTGTGGAGAGCCATGATCACCAACGTCCTGAAGAGACACGGCACATAGAAGACGAAGAATGAGGTTGAGTAAATGGATAGCAGAACAGGGTTTAGGAGAAATAAGAAAAAGACAAAATTTATTAAGAGCTACAAAGGATAGGAAATTGTGGAGAGCCATGATCACCAACGTCCTGAAGGGACACGGCACATAGAAGACGAAGAATGAGCTTGAGTAAATGGATAGCAGAACAGGGTTTAGGAGAAATAAGAAAAAGACAAAATTTATTAAGAGCTACAAAGGATAGGAAATTGTGGAGAGCCATGATCGCCAATGTCCTGAAGGGACACGGCACATAGAAGACGAAGAATGAGGTTGAGTAAATGGATAGCAGAACAGGGTTTAGGAGAAATAAGAAAAAGACAAAATTTATTAAGAGCTACAAGGGATAGGAAATTGTGGAGAGCCATGATCACCAACGTCCTGAAGAGACACGGCACATAGAAGACGAAGAATGAGGTTGAGTAAATGGATAGCAGAACAGGGTTTAGGAGAAATAAGAAAAAGACAAAATTTATTAAGAGCTACAAAGGACAGGAAATTGTGGAGAGCCATGATCACCTACATCTTAAAGAGGCATGTCACATAGCATACGAAGAATGAGCTTGAGTAAATGGATGGCAGAAAAGGGTTTAGGAGAAATAAGAAAAAGACAAAATTTATTAAGAGCTACAAAGGATAGGAAATTGTGGAGAGCCATGATCACCAACGTCCTGAAGAGACACGGCACATAGAAGACGAAGAATGATCTTGAGTAAATGGATAGCAGAACAGGGTTTAGGAGAAATAAGAAAAAGACAAAATATATTAAGAGCTACAAAGGATAGGAAATTGTGGAGAGCCATGATCGCCAATGTCCTGAAGAGACACGGCACATAGAAGACGAAGAATGAGCTTGAGTAAATGGATAGCAGAACAGGGTTTAGGAGAAATAAGAAAAAGACAAAATTTATTGAGAGCTACAAAGGACAGGAAATTGTGGAGAGCCATGATCACCAACGTCCTGAAGAGACACGGCACATAGAAGACGAAGAATGAGGTTGAGTAAATGGATAGCAGAACAGGGTTTAGGAGAAATAAGAAAAAGACAAAATTTATTAAGAGCTACAAAGGATAGGAAATTGTGGAGAGCCATGATCACCAACGTCCTGAAGAGACACGGCACATAGAAGACGAAGAATGAGCTTGAGTAAATGGATAGCAGAACAGGGTTTAGGAGAAATAAGAAAAAGACAAAATTTATTGAGAGCTACAAAGGACAGGAAATTGTGGAGAGCCATGATCGCCAACGTTCTGAGGGGACACGGTACATGAAGAAGAAGAAGAAGAAGAAGAAGAAGAAGAAGAAGAAGAAGAAGAAGAAGAAGGGTTGATAAACTGTAAAAGAAATAAATCCTATAAACCTAATCTTGAAAGAGAGACTGAATTCTTGGAGAATAGACTAAATATACTTTTTTAAATGATTAATTCCAATTCATGTCTGCCTCTATATCTGTTTATCACCGCTTTTCTTTTTGAACTAATATTATTCATTATTTTGCCGTAAGCCTTACTCGCATCTCTCTCTTTCCCACTCTCTCTCGGTCTGTTTACATCTCTCCTCCCTCTCTTTCTCTCTCTCTCTCCCTCTCTTTCTCTCTCTCTATCTATCATCTCATATTTCTCTCCCCTTTCTCTCTCTCTTTCTATCTCAGACTCGTCATATCTAAGTCTCGTCATTATCTATCTATCTATCTATCTATCTATCTATCTATCTATCTATCTATCTATCTATCCCAGTCTCCTCATCTCTCTCTCTCCCTTTCTGTCTATCTATCTATCTATCTATCTATCTATCTATCTATCTATCTATCTATCCCAGTCTCCTCATATCTCTCTCTTCCTTTCTCTCCCTCTATCTATCACGGTGTCGTCATATCTATCATCTATCTATCTATCTATCTATCTATCTATCTATCTATCTATCTATCTATCCCAGTCTCCTCATCTCTCTCTCCCCACTTCTCTCTCTCTCTCTCTCTCTCTATCTATCTATCTATCTACCTATCTATCATCCCAGTCTCCTCATATCTCTCTCTTCCTTTCTCTCCCTCTATCTATCACGGTGTCATCATATCTATCTAAGTCTCGTCATTATCTATCTATCTATCTATCTATCTATCTATCTATCTATCTATCTATCTATCAATTTCCCTGGGACAGAACACCTTTAAACCAACCCTCATCAACCATGTCTGCATTTCCCTTCTCCTCGGGCGGCCCGCCCCCTTAAATCTCTTTTCATTGCGCCACAAATACCCAGATTATTACCCCCCTGCGGCACCGACTCCTCGAGCAGGCGATAGTAGCCAGATCCAAATATAATTCTCTTCCCTTAAAACAGACCCAGCGGCAAGTTGAGCCAGTCCAGGTTGGTGCCCATCCTGTGACGACACCCTACTCATGATTTTGTCCTCCCGTGAGAAAGAGGAGGAACTGATAAAACGTGGATAGTGAAAACAGGACGAAAAACAAATATTCAAAGGGTAAAGGTGACAGCTCGGGAAATCACAAGAGTGGAGGGTATTGTAGACGTGACATCCAGCCCGCTTGAATAAGTGTGTCTCCCTACGGATCTTCAACACACTAAAGCAGGTGAAAGTCTGGTCTGACGAATGGCGCCTCTTCTTCTTGTCTCTTCTCATTACCTTCTCACGCCTAGCCAGTCAGTAAGAAAATACCCTGAGCAAATGATGTATCATATATTTATTCCTTCCAGCGATACATCTCTCCCATGACACCTTTTTTTTTAACCCACAACTGCCGTCTCCCTCTTTCCTATGATTCGATACAGCGTTTCGTATCAATAGATGATTATTTTTTCGAGTGGATCTTTCACTTAAAAGATATTTCCCCTTTGGTTTTATCAAACACGCTCCTTAGCCTCAAATAATCTTTTCACTTACGCCTGCGTCCAGCCTCTCTTTCGATCCCAGTAACACTGCGCATGCGCACAGAGGCACATCCAAACCGCCTCATGAAAGTCAGAGCGTGTTACTTTTGGCAGCTATTTGTATCGAAAATCAACTGGTAATAGATTTTTTTTTCACACATGCTCAAGAGCATGGCCGGTGCAAGGGTCTCGTGTCCTTACCCCAAATTTATGATACGCTTCCCAACTTTAATACATCTCAATTTTCATAAGCTAATATTCATATAAAATACAAATTTTATTGTAACTTAATTATGTACAATAATGGATCCTATGCAATATAGGTGAGCAATTCAACTAGAAAGATTGAAAATAAATACAATGTATCTAAATACAAATTAGAGACATGTCATAATAGATGATTCCATCTTAAATAAATCAACGATGTTTTGCGGCAATTTTTAATATCAACTTGAGATTTTTCTTGTTAAAAAGTTAAATAATTTTAACTCATTCAAAATTATGGATAAAAAATAGCAAATTTTATGTAGTTTTTTTTTTTTAGACTTAGCATGAGCAAAATAAATTGACGGATTTGGACGAGAAAAAATAAAAAAAAGATCCCAGAATGACGTCAAAATTCTTGAAAAATTCCCCCCTTTAATAGTCAATTGTGTTGAGCTTAATTTGTAGCGTATAGAAATGTAGGTAGAAAAAAAAAGCAAATCTCGATAAGCTATCGAGAGTGACAAAGTACCAATCATTGAACCCCCAATCACGTTTGTCTCCCTGTCGTGGGATTTGGGTGTTGTAGGCTCATGAGTTGCTACTGAATTTCTTCTTCTCATTCAGGACGTTGATGATCATGGCTCTCCACAATTTCCTGTTCTTTGTAGCTCTTAATAAATTTTGTCTTTTCGCTATCTCACCTAATCCCATTTCTGTCATCCATTTACACAAACTCATTCTACTTCTTCTTCTATGTGCCATGTCTCTTCAGTGCGTGGGCTATCATGGCTCTCCACAACTTCCTGTACTTTGTAGCTCTTAATAAATTTTGTCTTTTCGCTATCTCACCTAATCCCTGTTCTACCATCCATTTACACAAACTTCTTCTTCCTCTTCTTCTATGGGTCATGTCTCTTCAGTGTGTGGGCGATCATGGCTCTCCACAACTTCCTGTACTTTGTAGCTCTTAATAAATTTTGTCATTTCGCTATCTCACCTAATCCCTGTTCTACCATCCATTTACACAAACTTCTTCTTCTTCCTCTTCTTCAATGGGTCATGTCTCTTCAGTGTGTGGGCGATCATGGCTCTCCACAACTTCCTGTACTTTGTAGCTCTTAATAAATTTTGTCTTTTCGCTATCTCATCTAATCCCTGTTCTGCCATCCATTTACACAAACTTCTTCTTCCTCTTCTTTTAAGGGTAATGTCTCTTCAGTGCGTTGGCGATCATGGCTCTCCACAATTTCCTGTTCTTTGTAGCTCTTAATAAATTTTGTCTTTTCACTATCTCACTTAATCCCTTTTCTGTCATCCATTTACACAATCTCATTCTACTTCTTCTTCTATGTACCATGTCTCTTCAGTGCGTGGGCGATCACGACTCTCCACAATATCCTGTTCTTTGTAGCTTTTAATATATTCTGTCATTTCGCTATCTCTCGTTACGTACGTTATGCGTTGTTTCCTCCGTTCCTCTTGCCTTTGTTACCATTTCCTCTAAAACTTCCTTGTTGCTCACATTTTCGGTCTATGTTATTCTCGGCATCCTTCTGTAGAACCACATTTCTGTTGCTTCAAGTCCCTTTTTCATCTGTGACCGGATTGTTTAGCATTCGCTACCATATTGGAGGACTGATACCGCGTGACGGTTCAGTACTCTTTTCTTTGTTTCTAACGGAATTTTCCTGTTTCTTAATACATTGCTTAGCATTTGGAAGGCATCTTTGGCTCTCCCAATGCGCTTCCGGATTCCAGTGTCGCACTTTCCGTCCTCTGTAAAAACACTTCAGTGGTATTTAAATTTTTGTACTTGTTCTATACGACCGTAGTATTCTTCAGCCAACATACCGAGGGTAACAACAAAATTGTCCAAATCGTGTAACCGCGTGGGATAATTGCTCATCCCACAAAATGTTTAATATCTAAGACCCACCCCCAAAAAAAACAACTCTAAACTAATTGACTTTCTTTTCCCCACGTTTTCAGAAAAGTCATTTAGCCATCTTGATACCATTTGTCTCAAGAATCACTGAAAAACTCTTTGAGTTTTTCAGCTAGAAAGAGAACAAGTTAAAATCATTTTGTGTCTTCCCAACTGAGCAATAGTTAGAGGAAAATGATCATTCAGGCTTTCAGTAATGGTACCAACATTCATACTCAGGCTTCCATCTTCAAAGTTCATCCAAGAACCATCAAGAGAACGGTGAATAAGTTAAAAAAGAAGGCACAGTAGTGAGGAAAACTGGATCAGGAGGTCACAACAGGAAGAGGGATCATCATTTCAACTTAGAGCTAAATACATTTTTATTATTTAAAATAGAGTCCAATACTTTTATAAAAAACCTCGGAGAATTCCACTAAGATATCTTTAATCATTTCTTTTCAAAGCTTAATCTCACGATTTAGACAATTTTGCTGTTACACCCGGTACATTGGCCTAGTGCAGTGGTTCTCAACCGGGGTCTACATGGACCCTAGAGGTCCATGTAATATTTCCGGGGGTCCACAGGCAAAACTCAATTGTTGTGTTAATTAAAAATAGTAATAATAATTATTATTATCATTATAGTAGAATATTTTATTTGTATTAAATTAGTTTTCATTTAAAAATAAAGCTTAATCGTATACTATTTCTTTGATAATTAAAACCTTAAAATTTATATTAGTGAAGAATAGAAAATTGTTCTTATGTCCAATAGCTATGAAGGGGTCCACCAAGATAAAAAGAAGGGGAAAGGGGTCCATGGGTAAAAAAAGGTTGAGATCCACTGGCCTAGTGGATTGAAGAGATTTGATATTATATATTGATAGTATCATTCTATAGATTGCCATTTCTATTGCTTCAAGTCTTTTCTTCATCTGTGAGGAGTTGTCCAGCATTCATTGCCATACTGGAGGGATCATGGCTCTCCACAAAGTTGCTCTCCACAAAATGTTGCTGAACATGATATGTAATATCATGTTCAGCAACATTTTCTTTGTTTTTCACGAAGTTTTCCTCTTACTTAATACTTTGCTTAGCTTTTGGAAGGCATCTTTTGCTATTCAAATTTCGTCTTCGGATTGCGGGATTACATTTTCCATCCCCTGTAAAAAATACTTCCTAGATATTTAAACGTCTGTATTTGTTTGATTTAGACATCTCTAATTCGTAGCGCGCATCTTGATTTTTTTCTCATGTTGAAAGCCATGAATTTTTATCTTCTTACAATTGATGCTTAGTTCTTTCTTCTCACTTTCCTTACTTTTCCTGGCTTTGCTAGGATACCCTGTAGTTTTACCTGAGTCTACCATCAACACGGTGTCATATACCTCTTTGATTCTCCCAATGTACTTTCGGGTTCCAGTGTCCCACTTTCCGTCCTCTGTTAAAACACTTCCCAGATATTTAAATTTTTGTTCTTGTTCGATTCGGCCGTAGTATTCTTCAACCGGTATCTTCTCTGATACCGGGCGTAACAGCAAAATTGTCCAAATCTTGTAACAGCGTCGGATAATTGTCCATCCTACAAAATGTTTAATATTCAAAAAAAAAAAAAAAAAAAAAGCCTTAAACTAATTGAGTTTCTTTTTTCCAGGTTTTCAGATAAGAAATAGAATAGGTTAAAATCGTTTCGTGTCAGCCCAACTGTCTTCCCAATTGAGCAATGGTGAGAGGAAAAAAGATCATTCAGGCCTTCAGTAATGGTACCAACATTCATATTCTGGCTTCCATCTTTGAAGTCTATTCAAGGACCACGAAGAGAGATTGAATAAGTTTTTTTTTAAAAGATGGAGTACTAGAGAGAAGATCACAACAGGAAGAAGGGTCACCCTTTGAACTTAGAGCTAAATATATTCTTATTGTTCAAAGTAGAGTTCAATAGTGTTATAAAACCTCGGAAAATTCCACTAAGATATCTTTAATCATTTCTAAGTTATAACGGTTCAGATCTTAATCTAACAATTGAACAATTTTGCTGTTACACGATTTGTACAATTTTGCTCTTACACCGGTATGTATATATATATATATATATATATATATATATATATATATATATAATGTGATGAAAATTTCGCAGCCCGACCATTCACTGGTTAAGGAATGGCCTGTAAAATTTAAATGCCTCCAAAACAGAACTGCAATA